CGGGGGCGGCCGGCGTGACCCGCCTGCCGCAGCGAGACGTGCTCGCTCCTGAGCGCGGAGCTCCGCAAGCGAGCGCTGAGCCAGCCAAGCACCGCCGTGTGCCGTTACAGGGGTCAGGGTTTTGTCTGAAACCCTCTGGTAAGGGACAACAGAAGTACGGCCGTGCTGTCTGATTTGCCTGCAAATGCATATCTTTGGTTTGGTGGGGTAGGGTTTTGTTTTTTTTTTTAAGTGAGGAGCAATGGGTCGTTTCAACTTAAACCTTGGCCTAGCTGTTAACAGCTGCTAGGGGTCCACCAAGGTTATAGTACTGTTTCGTTTTACGAGAGAATTTGAGTAAGGCTGTTTGCTTGTTACAGACATACAGAGAAGAATAAAAGTGGAAGAAAGCGTGAAGATGATTAGAGGAAAAGATGACCATTACGGGGTTTTAACAACAGGGCTTAGCAGTAGATCTCGTGTTTAGGGTGTTGTCTGTGCTGTTTGTCTATGTTGAGAAACCAAACTATACAAATAAAGTAAAGATTTAAGTTTTTCAGTATGCCACACAGAAACGCTCTTACCTTCTTAAGAAACGTGTAACTGCAGCCACAGGGGCTGTTAACAAAACGACAAGAGTGCTAAAGAGGAATTTGAGTTCCAGTCGGTTAATAAAGCAATAATTTAAGTTTGCACAATGTCTCATGTTCTAGTTGAAGTTGTTCACCTCACCCACAAGGAAAAATACAATAGAAGAGCAACTTCCTTTAACCGCATTGCGACTCCCAGTACAGACCTCATTTTTCTTACTGAAAGTAGAGATCTTGTTCAATTATAGCCACAGTGTTTGTTGTAAAACATGTTTCCAAAATCGGCATTAACTGTAGATGTAGGACCCCAGACTGCTGATCAAGGTAAGGGCTTGAATATCATGGTTAGCTGCCTTTAACTTTAGAGCAAAAACGTCTGTCTCTTGGTCAGTGTATTCTGCAGTCTCATCTCATTAAAGGTGGGTATCTGAATTGCGCCTGGAATCTTCCTGAATCTTCCTCTCTTTGGCTAACCTGATCTAATATTTCCAGTGTTTGTAAACGCACTTAGTGAAAAGACAGGAAAGCACTAATATAACAGCCATTTATTTCAGTCATGCAAATCCACGTGTTAGTCTGATTTTTATGCCAAGCTGTTTACAACTGAAAAAAATCTGACACTTGTGATGATAAGTTCTTATGCATCTGTTTAGTGGAGCTTGCTCTCCAGGCAAGATAAGAGTTTCCAGAGGAAGAATAATGGACATTTCAGTTCATCCGCATTTCTAAGGAAGTGGAAATAGCATGATATTCAGCCTTCTGTTATTACTGCTTGTTTAACCCCAGCAAATATAGCTAGAGCAGTGGAAAGGTTAAGTAGCTTTACCTGTAATTATGTTCATTGTTATGAATTAGCTGACTACAGATTTTCTATTGAGGATAAATTGCTTTTTAAACAACAATAAAGGGGCAGTGAAGCTGTTTGACTGGTTTTTGTGCAGGAAGAACTTCCTGCTCTTGGTGTCTGTTGTTTTTAACCAATAAATTCTTGCCTGCTGTCCTTGATTTCATTTAAAAATCATATATGCCTTTTCCACATGCTGCAGACAGAAATTGTAGTTATCACAGGTCTGGAAGGCATGTTTTGTATATTTCCACAGTAGCCTCTCTTTATTAGTCGCTTACTAAAGAAACGTGACAAATACAGCCTCTCTGTCATTTTAACATATGCAGCCATAATAAACTTCAGATAAAGCTGCTCACGGAGAGATAAGATAGCAGATGGAGAGAGAAATAGCAAAGTTCTACACCCTTCCTGAAAAATACACTCTTGCAGAAAGGCTCTGCTGGTGTTCCCACTGAGAAAGAAGAGATGGCGTAAGCTCATCCCTGTTTCTAGAAAATTCAGGAGAGGGAGAGAGTCTTTAGATACACTGTCCACAGGAAAAGCTTTTTGTCTCTCATTGCGGATCAGAGAATCCGATCAAGAGACATACAGCAGCAGCCGCCGCCGATCAGGCTTCAGTCAATCGTGCTGTTCATAGAACTACTTGTTCTAGTCATCATTTAAATTCTGCATATCCAGAGAAAGTTGTGGTTGCTCTACACTAGTGTAGTATTTTCAGCTGTTGATTTGCAATCCTGCCAGAGTTCCAGAACTCCAGGTTATAAAATTTTCCATTAGCAGTATAGTTTCCTTACAAGTGGAAACTCTCTCTATCCATTTGAAAATACAGCAAATTTTTCATAGTGGCTTCTGAACTCTTTGACATTTCTGTTCAGTAACTTTAGATATCTATTCAGATTTTTTTAGGAAAGTAATGCTTTATTTCCCTTGCTTTGCTTTCTGGATTTTCTTTTAATGTTAGTTTCCCATATGACACATCACAAATCAGCAAACCCTGCTGTGTCTACAGCATTAAGAATCACTTGCTGTTATAACAGTCCTCTTTGAGCAAGTATATTTGAAGTTTCTCTGTTATCTTTGTTTCTTCAGGTGTTGCTTTGAATGGTGTTGCTTTGTTCTTCAGGTGTTGCATCACGAGGATTGACTTTTTAGTTGTGCTCGGATGCGACACTACTCTTCTCTCTTGTAGTTGATTGTTAGGGTTTAGCAACCGTGTGTTTTTGTGGGTGTGTTCTTCAGCAG